GTCACTCAGCATAATGTCTGGGAGATCTATGTTTCTCATGTTCGTACTTTGCTCCTGTTCATTACTGGGCAGAATTCCCATTCAGTTTTCAAGTTTCTCATCTACACTTACGACTTGGACTTTTCACCTCCAGCCCCAACTTTTCCCTGAGCTCTAGATTCATATATCTTATGTTTCCTTGGATGTTTCACTGGCATCTTGAGCCACACATCCAAAACAGAACCCTTCCTTTTCTAACCCAAACCTGCAACTCCTATGGCCTTCCCTGTGTCGACAGATCATGCCATCAACCCCGCTGTTATTCCTAGTCCTTGTCTTCACACTCTTGGGCAAGTTCTACTCTCAAAATATCCCTACCTGACCACCCCTCACCACCAGCAGCTGTATTTGTTCTTCTGCTGCACAGCAAACAGCCACAAATGCAGTTGCTTAAACCACACACTGTTTATTTCAAAGCTCTGCAGGGCAGGAGCTTGGACAAGGTGTGATTGGGTTCTCAGCTTAGGAGTCAGTTGGGCTGTGTCCTCCCTGAAGCCTGCAAGGAAGGATCCAAGCTCACATGTGTTTCTTGATGGCTGGATTCAGTTCCTTATGGTTGTAGGACTGAAGTCACCATTTTCTTACTGGGTATCAGCCAACTGTCACTCTTAGCTTATGGAAGCTGTTGATATTCATGGGTTCTCACCCCATCTTCAAAGGCAGGAGCAGGAAACCTGCCCCACATGGAATCCCTCTTATAACCTCTAATATAATTTGCCAGGAAGAACCCAATTCCTTCTAAGGCTCAGCTTGAAGTGAGGCCCTAGAGGATAATCTCCCTATCACAAATTCAACTAGTTTGGGACGTTAATTACTTTATGAAATCCATTCACAGAAGCACCTAGATTAGTATCTGCATGAAAAGAGAGAAAAGCTGTGCATATACTCGGAATCAAGATCTGAGATCTGGCTTTGAATTCTGCCTGCTCCCCAGCCCCTGTCTATGCTGCCTCTGTCTCTCACCTCACTGCAGTCCAGGCCACCTCTTGGCTTCCTGCTTATACTCTCTGTCATTATAATCCATCCTCTAGACAGCATGGTGACTTGTGGCATATGAAACATACTTGGGAGGCTGAGTTGGCCTCAAAAAAACAAAAAATATGAAGCACATTGTATCATCCCCCCACATTCAAAAACCCCTAAGAATCTGGGTCTCTCACTTTGCCATTGTACCTAAAATAAAATTAAAAACCTTTGTTATGACCCATCTGACTAGGCCCTGCTTACCTCTCACATTCAGCAAATACTTAACACAGCTCACACACTACTTGTTGAATGAATGAGTGAATCTATTCTGGACATTTTCTACCGATTTCTTTTGGTTCCATTCTCTAAGGCTACTATTTTGGGCAGAGATTCTCTCTTCTCTGATCCAGTACATGAGTCTCCTTGCTACAACAACACCTAGTCCATCTGTCCTCTATACTGTAGCCAGAGTGACTGGCCACAACCTTCCCTGTTCTGAAATCTACTTCCCTTGAATGAATTCCAGATGCGTTGGTCCAGCACTTGAGTGCCCACCCCAGTAAACATGCTTCCGGAAGTGGAAAGAGGCCTCAGTGGAATTCTGGGAGATTTTAAGGATACACGGGAACCACATTAAGTTACATTGTCCCCAATGACAGCTCCTTTACAGGTCTTCTTTCCTTCTGAAAACTTTGGAAAAATCTATATTGGATACGTTTATGCCTCTAACATTTCTGCATCTCTGTGATACTTGTGATCTCCCTCACAACTTTTTCTTTTCAAGACAGCATCCCACTATGTTACTCAGGCTGGTCTTAAACTCCTGGGCTCAGGTGATTCCCTGACTCTGCCTCTTGAGTCACTGGTCCTACAAGTATGTAGTACTCTGTGTAATTTCAAGTTTTCTTTTTCATAAAGAAATAAAAGAAGAGGAGAGCTTTCTCCATGGCAATTCTATCTGATCATGGAATTTTTGTGTGTGCTTTAATTGTGAAATCATCTTCTATTTATGGCCAGTGATACAGTGTTCTTATTCATGTCAACGACCTCACATTTGAAGAGAATGCTCATGAATTGGTTTAAAGATTCATGTTAGGAAACAGAAGGTACCGTGGTCCTCAGGCACGCAGAAGGGCAAGTGCAATGCAGCCCCCAGGGTTCCTCACACCTGCAGGCTTCCCCCTGCTTCTCCCACACAGGGCCCCTGCTCACCTCCACCTCCAGCAAGCACTTCTGTCTCTCCTCTGCCTCATTGCTGCTGGATCCTCCTCCTTCCAAGGGCACATCGCTCCCCACCACCCCTGGAAATCTCTCCCCACTGCTTCACTGGCTGTCACTCTGGCTCCATTGGGTCTTGATATTCAACTGCCTGCTATTTTTCCCTCTGTGGGCTTGTTACTTTTCCAGGAGGGAAGTGTCCGGTGTTGTTTCTTCTTTGTAATCTCAGGATGCCTCACTGTGGGGCTTCACCTATCAGCCTTCAGTGATTGCTGAACTTCCCACTCCTCTCACTACTGCACCCATCATGCAGTGCCCGAGTCATCAGCGTCCTCCTCCATCCCCTCCTGTGGCGTGTGGAGCCAGGTGGGCATCCCAGATCCATTGTCACACCAGCTAAGGACTTTGGGCAAGTCCCTTCCTCCTCCTGAGCCTGTTCTCTCATTTATAAAACAGAACAAGAATGACTGACGGAAAGGGTTGCTGTGGGGATCAAATTATATCTAGCCGTGTCTGGCAGAGAGGAACAAACAGCTCCATAAACATTGCTCTGGGCGCCATGATTCAGCTTTCAGCACCACCATCATCAGCTACATGGCACCTTGGATTCTGGTCCTTAAATCGCCTCTTGGGATTTCCAGATGACTGACTTGCAATCAAAGGTGATCTGAGTTCTACAAAGGAGGAAGTAGGGCAATCTCATCAATTTGGGACGACAGAACATTTATCCTGCATGCCATTTTCATTGGCTGTTCAAGCAGCCTGTCACCCAGTGTCCCTTCTGCTTCTGGTTCCCACTCTGAACACAGGGAGAATGGCATTGGCAGCTTCTAGTAGCGTGATTCCAGAAACAACCTTTGAAGGGGAGCTAAAAGGAGGAGTCTCCTGGAAGCCCCGACTTTTATTCAGCCCTGTAGTTAATAGCAAAAACATAGGCCCAAGTCCTGGCCCAGTGCCTCACTGGCTGGGTGGCTTCTGACAAGTTCCTGCACCTTTCTGAAGCTCAGTTTCAACATCTCTGAAATGGGGGTGCTGGTGTTTGTCACCCAAGCTGCTGTTGTTTAGCAACCAAAATGGAAACCGAACATGGAGTTCTAGCTACTCACACTGAGACTGAGATTAGCTGGGGCAAAGGGCTGGTGAGGTGGAAGAACCAAGGTCAAGGAGAATTTATGGCCTCTCAGCGTTTATTGTTTTGATAGGGATTTATTAAGCCCAATTTAGGACTGAAATAGCCTCTGCTGGCCCCCACCCCCATGGCCACACTGGCAGGGCATGGACAGGGCCTTCATTGCGACATCTTTGCAAACATTTCCTGGTACTGACAAATGGAGGGAAGGGACAGGAAGGTAGGAATGGCCCCAGGGCTGGACAGGCAGGTGATGGGTGCTGTTGAGGCTGGAGAGATTAATGGTTAGCCTCTTACCAGAAGGAGGCTGCTGAAGGACTCATTTGTACTCTCTTGTTTGTATTTGTCCTAGTATCACATCTAGCACAGTTCCCATTGGCTTATCCAACTGAAGCCCAACATTGCTTGAGGGAGATATCATTCCCACTTTATAGGGGTGGCTCGGAGAGGTGCAGTGACTGGCGAGAGATTACATTGATCACCGAGAGGTGTGACTCCCAGACCAGAACCAGTGGGAAGAGTTGAGAGTCACCCTGTCCACTCTCATCTTGGAGTGTCACCTAAGCCAGGCATCCTTAGTTTAGCCATCACTGAATGTTGTGATGTGCTGAGAGATTGGGCTGTCCAGAGAAACAACTCGATTTGTATCATTTGCCAGTTGTGGTGTAAACGTTTCCTTGGTGGCCAATGGCAAGGTGCTGACTTGACATCGCTAAATTTGGAGCTGAGAAGAGAAACTGAGAATTGGCTGTCACAAGCCAAGCCACTCCAGCGCATCCCAAGTAAACGTGAGGCCAAGACCCAGGCCACCACCCCAAGGGGAAAAGACCAAAGTGCCTGTAGGCCTGGATGGAACTTCTCAGGCACATTTCCCACTTTCATATTTTTTTAAAACAGTACTTGCTTTTATGAAATTTCCTCATGTTTGTGCAACATGGACATGGCTGGGTGAGGTGACCCAGAGAAGGGCTCCATCTTGGGTCCTGATGGCAGGGACAGGCCCTTGGATCTTCTTGCCATTGTTCCACATCTTTCTATCACCCTCTTTCTTGTTCCTCCTTTCTTTAGAAGGAAGGATCAAGTTTCACTCTCTCTATATGAGGAGTTTGTGAAGTCAAGAGATCTTTGCCCCTCAAGGAAAATCACTTCCTTGAACCTCAGTTTCTTCATCTATACAACGTGAGGTCATCATAAGGTCTAACGTACTTACTTCTTGATATGAAGTCTAAAATAATGGAGCAAGGCATGGTAGCACATACCTATAATGCCAGCACTCTGAGAGGCTGAGGCAAGAGGACTGCAGGGCAATTTAGCAATATACGGAGACCCTGTATCAAAATAAAAATAAAAGGGCTGGGAATTAGCTCAGTGTGAAGGCTCTGGGTTCAAATCTTAGTAATAATACACACACAGGAGGATAAGAAAGTATTTTGTGTATTATAAAGATTCTAGGATTATTTACTAAAACCTTTAAAAAAGACATCTATACAAGGGCTTAGAAAACATATGCACCATTTATTTTGTTGTAGTATAAACTTTTTGTTAAAATGCATGAGTAAGAAATGTTTTTTGCTTCTTTGCCCCATCGGGCGGCAGTGATGGGAGTTGGGGAGTCTGCGTGGTACCTAATGACAACCGTGCACCCATAGGAAGAGGCAGATCACGATAGAATGCAGTCCACCTTCCAGAATCGCTCGATGTGAATTTCACAATTCATTAGGGCAGATCACAAGAAAATCCAGCAAAGGTGATTGGCTTGGCCATTGTAAGAAATTGAGGAGCATCCAGCTGCAGCCCTCTCTTCTCCTGAGAGCTATATGGATCCTGGAAGTTCCTGAGAACTTCCTGAGGAGGTGTCTTGGTGACAGTGTCCATACTTGCCTTGCACCACCCCTATTTAGTACATCAGATTTAATGTTTTAGGGTCACGATTCAGGAAGGAATTCCAATGTAGTATCCTCAACTTAGAACCAGAAGAGTAAACTTTTCTTTATTTTGTGTTTCCTGTATTGCAATAAAGTTATTAAAGTGGAATGAATTTCTCCTCCAGAAAGGATGGATTAGGGGCAGAGGATTGAGCCCCTACCCCAGAAGACTGGTACCATTAAAAGCCACCATTACATTACCCCATGGACAATTCTTTTCTCAACTCTGCTCCCATGACAGAGGCCTTGGGCAACAGTGGTGGCAGAGGGACAGAACAAAGAATGGGAATGGCTGCAATGACCAGAATGATTCCCGCTTTCCTGCCTCATGCAGACTGGTCTGAGCCATTTGGCTGGGAATTCTGGAGCACTGGAGTGAGGGTGGCTGGAGAAAGCTTGAATGCTCTGTGCAGGGAGTGGTCTCTCCTGGAGTCTGAGACATGTCTTGCTGGAGCAGGGAGGCCAATCCTGACAGCTCTGGGCCACAGAGTCCTCTGAATCATGGCCCCAGTACGTCTTCATATCTTTCTTGCAACAAGAAACAATCACTAATGGTGGACTATCTGGGCGCTGGGTACTGTTCCCCTATCCACTTGGAAGGATCAACCTTGTAACCAGGCCAACGGCTCACTGTCGTACTTGGTCACTCCTACACTTTTAGGATACATCCCTTTTAGTCCCACTGGTCAGTGGCATTTTTCAGAATCTCCCCAAAGCCATCAAGGTTCTGTAGGGAAAAGGTGCTGGTTGCTCTATCCTGGGGTTTAATGTTTCCAGAATGTACCCTGAATGATTATCTGCAGCGCAAGCCTCAAAGCCAGACTCTATAATTCCTCCCCTGCCCCTCATCCATCTATAGACTGACAGGCCAGATTGGTTTGTCTCCCAGGAACCAGATCCCTATTGTTCTTCTCCCAGAGTTGGGGAGTAAAGAGAGAAAAGGGGTCAAGAGTCATGAATTCACCTTCATATTCATCAGCAAACAGGATTTGGGACCTTCAGTGGACTCGAGTGTAGTCTCAGGCCAATCTTAGTCCTGGGAGTGGGCAGAGCTTCTAGAAAGAATGAGCCTTTGGGTCCTGGTAAAGGACCGGGAAGTCCCTCAGCAGGATCACAGCGAACATGGGGGGTTCTTTTAGGTGGTTAAGATCTCCTATTCTGATCCGGGGAGACCTGGATTCATGGCCTGACTCAGTCACTGACTATCTGTATGAGTTCCAGATTTAAAAAAACAATCACTTAACCTCTTAGAACTCAATTGCATCTTCAGTAACAATCTCTAGGCAATTGGGAGGACTCCGTCAGACACTGGATGTCAGATGCTTCGGACAGTGCCTAGGAAGGAGGAAGAGCTTGCGAATGGATGGAAATAATTCCTCCCTGAACTATCCCTACTTGGAGGTGCCCCGTCCCCTCCTTTCCATCTCCATGCTGTCATTCTCATTACATCATAAGCCCCATCTGAACTTGCTGCTCCCTCCCAGCCTTCCACCCTTTGTAGGACGCTGTATTCATCTTCTGACAGCCTGGGGTAACCCTTATCACCTACTCCTGGCCTCAGTCTAGCATTCAAGGCCCCATGTTCCACTCTCCCCCAACTCTAGTTGCAGTTGTCAACCCGGGACTGCTCTCTCATTGTCCAAAGCCCTTGCGGACCATCGTTCTAGTGCCCACACCAACGCCTGAAGAAGGAAAGTGTAGCAGAGCCTGAGGAGGAGGAATGGTGTCTTCCTGCTCAGCAGTCTCCTGCCTCCACCTGCCCCAGTCGGCACTTGTAGAGTATTCCGGGATGCATGGGGGAATGGCTTCCATGTCTTCCTCAGCCTCCAGAGAGGTGGCTTTGGAAAAGACAAAATGGCAGAGGAAGGTGACAGCAGAGGGTGAAGAGGGGTATTGGAGATGGGGGTAGTAGAAGAGGGAGGAGTAAGGTGTCACAGCCTGACCCAGCCTCACGGGGCTGTGACTGGACACCGTGACCAGTACCAGGGGAGCAGAGTCCCAACTGGAAGGAGAGGGAGCTGTGCCTAGGCAAGGTTCCATAGCATCTCCAGTCTGCTGTCCTTGTGGGGTGAAGAAGTTCAGGGCTTGGATGAAGGTGAAGGTAGTGGCTTCAACATGAGGAAAGTTGTCCAAGGCAGCAGAGGGCTTTCCAGCCGATGACTCCCCAAGTCAAAGCCCTATCACCCAGAGCACAGGGTCAAGGGTAGCAACGGGATGTGGCTCTCAGCCCACGTTCCTGGGCCCTTCCCCCTTTCCATTCCTGCTCTGGAGCTGGCCCTCTTGTCACGCCTTCCTTGGCTGTGACCAAGTGGTCACCAGGCATTCCCTGAGGGGGGTAGGGTGAGCTTGCAGAGCCCCTGATGCCTGCAGCTTGCTAGATGACTTCCTGCTTGGTGATGGTCGGCTGGGGGATGGCAGAGGGGGGCTTGACGATTGTGGCGATGGCTCCTGGCAGGAGCTTGTAGGGCTCAGACCCTGAGCCACCCGGCGGCGAGGGTTGTGGAGTCTCAGGGGTGGCTGAAAGGACAAAGAAACAGGCTGCTCACAATTCCATGCTTTTGGGGAGTAAATGAAGAGCTCTGGGAAAGTTCTTCCTTCTCTCTGAGACTTAATTTCTTCTTTTATAAAATGAGAGAATTAAACTAGATAAATTCTAAGATTTCTAATGGCTCCACCCTTCTACAAATCCCCAATCATAAAATTTAAGTTCTGTGAAGCCTAGAAGGTTCAACCACCCATTTCCTCCACCATTTTGTACAGATACTTGGGTGGCTTTTCCCAAACCAGGGAACAGGTCAAACTGTCCTGTGACATCCCCAGTGAGATATTTACAAGGAACGTTCTTTCTTGGAACAAAAAGTAACAGTTGATGAAATCTGGGGTTAACTGGCACAAAAAGTACCATTTCTTTGATATTTAGGAAATGAGTAACAGAAACTAATTGATTCTACTCCTTCCACAGTATTTGGGGAATAATTGTGACCCAAATGGCTAACTCCATTCAATGGACAGTTTTCCCAAAGAACAATTTCAACGAAATGCCATTTCATCTGAGTGAAACACCTCATCTCATTGGTAATTTTATTTTCTGAAGAGCCATGCCCAATGAGAGATTCACCTCAGTGGTCTAGTCCAGTGGACATCTCTACCCAAATGACAGGCTCCTCGAGTGGGCTAAGTGATAGCCTTATCCAGTTGGACAGCCTTACTTCAGTGGACACTTTGACCTAACAGATAATGTCATCTAATGGAATTCTCACCTGATGAACAGTTGTTACCCAATAGTAGCCAAGTGCACCCAGTGAATTTGCTCATCCCAAGGACAGTTACATTTAATATAAGTTGTCAGTCACCCAATTGAAGATACAGCCTCACTGAATAAACAGCTTTAACAGAGGACCTCATTCTCTACCCAGAGAACATCTGTACCCCAGTTTACCTCTAGACTCAACCTTGTCCCACCTCCTCCCCTTGCCCCATCCTCACCCCTTGCAGGGGAGCCCACGTTGCCCACCTGCCTGCCCCCTGGGTCGGGGCCACTCACACATCTGTCCGTTGCTGAGGTGAGCAGGCATTGTGTTGGCAACAATGACGTTGGTGCCCATGTGTTCCTGCATCAGGTGAGGGTGCAGCGGGTGGTGAGCGTGAGGTGCATCACTGGAGGACCCTGCAGATAGAGAAGAGCTCAGTCAGGAAGGAGAGTCAAGGATAAGGACCATGGGCCTAGAGGCACCATCTTCAGGTGTGGCCAATCTGCCTCAACCCTGCCAGAACCTATGGGGTTCCTGGTCCTGGTTTAGTAAGTCAGAGCGTACCATTTCAGTCCATGGGTTTCATGGGGCTATTGAGAGGACCCAAAAGACCCAGAGAACAAGCATGATTTGAAAGAAACAAGGAGTATATAAGGAGCTCTGAGACCATTTGAATTATAATAAATAGTGCACTGGCTGAATAGTGAAATGATGGATTTAATCAATGGCCCTCAAGCTCCTTGACATGTGAGTCCTTCCTCCCAAGTCCTCTCTGCCTCATCCTTCATATCTCTGCTTCAGCCAGGCTGGCCCATATGGAGCATCTATGTGTCTCTTGTATTTTCCTATCTCTGTGTTTCTGCTCACACTGATTTGTCCACCAGAGATGCCTTCTCTGCTGCCTACCATGTCCATAAGTTCAAATCCCACTCATGTATTTTCTCTTTTTGGAAGCTTCTTTTGATTCTTTCCACTCTCCTTCTTTTCCTTCACTGGAATTCCCATAGTAATTTATCTGTAATGCACCTTTGGGAAACAGCCACTTGGGTCTATGGTCATTACAATTACAGGTGCATTTTTCTTCTTTGCTTTGATGGCCTAGCAAAGCGTCTGGAACACAGTAACTGATTCAACGGGAGCCAGGGAGTGATAAAAGCATAGAGCTATAAGCTATGGTCATTAATGTGATATTGATGGACTTTTAAACTTTAATAGTCTTCTAAAATACATTTGTTTCAAGGATATCTAAGTTACCAAGCAACTAATATATACCAGGTACCAGTTTATAGCACTTTTTGTGTTTTACATAACTTAATCCTAGAGGATAGGTAAATTATTATCCGAGTCTAATAAGATAATATATCCAGAGAGATTAATTTACCCAAGTTTATCTGACAAAAGACCACAAGCTCTTGATGCCAATTCCAATGACAACTGTTTCATAATAACCCCATATTCACAGGATCAGTAGGAAAATGAAATAAGCTACTACCTGAGCACGGTGGCACATGCTTGTAATTTCAGCTCTCTGGGAGGCTGAGGCAGGAGGATGGCAAGTTTGAGCCCAGCCTGGGCAACTTAGTGACCTAGCAAGATTCTGTCTCAAAGTAAAAATTAAAACAAAGGCTGAGGATATAGCTCAGTGCAAAGGCCCTGGGTTTAATCACCCATATTGGAGAAAAATAAAGCCACCAGTGGTTGACAGTAGTTCTTAATTAGGGATAGTTTTGACCCTTTGGGAGACATGTGACAAGATCTGTGGACATTTTGGGTTGTCACCACTGCAGACGTGCTACTGGCATCTCATGGGTAGAGGCTAGAGATGTAGCCAAACAGTGCCCAGGAGAGTCTCATGATAAAGAAGTATCCAGGCCCAAATGTCAGTAGTGCTTGGGCTGAGAAAAGTTGCCCTTTGTTACCGACAACTACACCACCTCCAAAGCCTCCAGCCCAAGTATCCACACTTTGATTTCTCCTCCCATCCTTCCAGCTCACCCCATCCAGTACCATCTCTGCAAAAATCCTTCAGGCCTACAGAGGGGATCCATTTGCTCTCTCCCACGTCTCATTACCTAACGGCCCATCTTATTTTTCATTTAGTACAGCCAGGATTCCATGGCCCATCATTATGATACTTGCACGAGGCCATTCTCGACTCCCTCATGCCTCCCTTCACAGGACAACATTTTCAGAGGATTGTCTGCACGTGTCCACTTTCCTACTCACTCACTCTGTAAACACCTCAGTCTGGTTTGCATACTCATAATCCTCTGGCCCTGCTCTCAACACAGGTGCCAAGAGCTGCCATGTTGCCACCCAGCAGACACTTCCCACCCTCCTCCCCCATCTCTGTTGAATTTAATGCCATTAAAAGCTCTGTCTTCTTAAAAACACTCTCCTCTTGGATTCTGAAGTTTCCCTGCTTTTCTCCCCTCTCTCTGGCTAATCTTTTTCAACAGCTTTCCATGGCTTCCTCTTTCCCTGTGACTCCAAAATGATGGAAAGCCACTGCCTTGACCTTCTGTTTGAACCTCAGATTCTGACATTTAGTTGCCACCTGGATGGCTCAGCTTGGGTACCTAATGGTCCTCTCAGCTTCCACTTAAATCCACTTGATGAATCTCAGGAACAGCTTGGCCTCAAACCCCAAACCCAGCCTCAAGCTGTCTCCTTGGTGTTCCATATCCCAGTAAATTACTCCATCAACCTTTCTGCCACTCACAGCAAAAACGTAGGCTTCTCCCTTGACTCTTTCTTTTCCTATCACTCCCCACCTCTGGTCCAACAGTACTTCCTGTGGGTTCCTCCTCCAGATACTGTTGCTGGTCAAGCACACACCTCTGTTTCCATGATCCAAGCCTCGCCTGCCCTTTCCATAACTAGAGATAGTGACATTCCCAGGAGTTTCTCTGGCTTCTGCATTGTTCCCCTGAAACTTACTCTCTCCCCAGCAATCAGTGTTTTGTTTAAAACATTAGTCTCATTGTCAGTTTCCTTCCAAGAGATGCAATGAGAATAAAATCTAAATTTTTGACCATAGCCTTTGATTTTGTTTTTCCCTAATGTCTGTCTTCATCTCATACAACTCCACTGTCTAACGACCTTGCCCCTCCTTTTCAAACACATAACCTTCTCCTGCCACAGGGCCCGTAACTAGTTTCTCCTGCTTGGAGTGTTTCTCTTGGC